GCCTCTCTGATCTTCGGGTCCTCGCTGAACAGAGTCAGGTGTACTCCCTCCATCGCTTCGCTCTCTCGGAAAGCTCGAAATGCTGTATCATTCGCCTCTGGGCAGCTCGAGGAGACGATCCACTCCACCTCCCTCTGTCTCCAGATGACGTTGGCCCCTACAGCGATGAAGCCTTTCTGACCTAAGCCTTTGTGGACTTGCTGTCCTGGCGCCCCAGCGACCAGCATGCCTGCCAGCGGCTGGAGTTGGACCGCTGCAAGGGACTGGCGCAGCAGCTGATAGCGATAGACGGCAGCTATCTCAGCCGTTGTCATGCCGCCCAAGGTTAGCAGGTGAGTCAGCTCTGCCAAGCTGCCCCCTTTGCCCCAGGGTCCTCTCTTGGCTCGAATCTTGAAAGATCGATCGTGCACGATGCTCACATGTACAGCTGTGAACTTGCGACCATCGATCGCGAAGTCCTCTCTTCCCTGCCAGAGCTTCTCCGCTTGTGCATTGCGGAGGAAGGAAACAGTCACCGGGATCTCCTCAGCACTCGCTATCTCGGGTCTATACGGAGCCTTCCACATGATTGCTTTACTCTCTTGCACTGAGTCTACGATCAGTCCGATCTCTTCAAATTTCTTCTTCAGCTTTTCTTCATGGTTGACATACACCGAGGAGATGCCCAGGAGAGTCATGGAGATGAAGGAAGTTACCTCGTTGCCTGCTGAGGCGGTGTATGTCTCGACCTTCTCCCGAGTCTTGGCTTCCTCAATCTGCTGCATAAACCACTCTCTGGATGCGTCACTCCATCCAGTCATCGCTTCTTGCAGAAGCTCACGTCGTGCCTGCTGACATGTCGAGCGGATGGCTTCTGCGATAGCGTCGGGGGTGCATCCCTCCACAGCCTTGCAAGCCTGGGCTGTCCTGCTGTTCGGATAACGCTTCGCGAAGCTCTTCACCCTCTCGACGAGATCAGCTTCGAGGACAGAGGCATCCACAAGTCCGCTCTGCGTGTATTGGCATGATCTCCGATACAGCAGTTTGCGAACATTTTCATCATACTGAAGAACCATACTTAGAAAGCTATTTGAAGTATACAAACCTCTCGCTTGCAGCTTCCTTGGCGCCCTGGCAGCTTCCCCTACACCACGCGTGCAGCCATGGTGCCTGAAATAACCGGCGCTGCCTGAAATAACCGGCGCTGCCTGAAATAACCGGCGCTCCTAAACCCTAAACCCTAAACCCTAAACCCTAAACCCTAAACCCTAACGGCGCCTTGCCGAAAATAACGGCGCCTTGCCGAAAATAACGGCGCCTTGCCGAAAATAACGGCGCCTTGCCGAAAATAACGGCGCCTTCCTAAACCCTAAACCCTAAACCCTAAACCCTAAACCCTAAACCCTAAACCCTAAACCCTAAACCCTAAACCCTAAACCCTAAACCCTAAACCCTAAACCCTAATCCCTAAACCCTAAAAACCCTAAACCTAAATCCCCCCTCAGCTCTGCAAGCATAAGCTGTCCGACTATTCGGATAACGCTTGGTGAAGTTCCGATCTTCACCTTCTCAACGAGGTCGGCGGCCGCTCCTCGACGTGGCCTCCAGAGCGCTCACCCTGCGTGTATTGGCATGATCTCCGATACAGCAGGTTGCGAACGCTCTCATCATACTGTAGTACCATGCTTAGAAAGCTTTTTGAACGATACAAACCTCTTGCTCGCAGCTTCCACCGGTCCCCTTGCGCTCTCCCTACGCGCCGCAGGGCAGCATGCTCTTACTAAGGGCCGGCCCTAAACCCTAAACCCTAAACCCTAAACCCTAAACCCTAAACCCTAAAGTGGATACCCCTACTAGTCACACCCTACTGGCTCAGTAACCGGGCCGTTGAAACACAATCCGATGATCCCTCAACCCAGGTGACCCGGTTTAGGTTAGAACCTTGGCCAGATAACTAAACGGTGGCATAGCACACAAGGAGCGGAAGCTGGGGGAACGCTGCAGAAGCACGAGGACAAAGAGCAGTAAGCTTGAAGACTTTGTACTGAGACGAGCGCTTGGCGCTCTTTCTTCTTCGAAATCATTCTTTCAGTCCATCGTCCTCCTCTTACATCCTTCGTACCCTCTGTCTCCTTCTCTGTAAACAAGTTACAGAGCTTTAGTCCTCGACCGCATCTTCAGCTGTGGACGCCCAGAAACAAAAGTCATCTCTCAACGATGAAGGGTGCAAACCTTGCCAAGCCCGAGCTCTCGTTTTCAAAGCTCAGGAACTCGTTTGATCCCGTTAGATTCCAGGAACCAAACGCCAGCCCCGTCTTGCTTTGGCCGCTCGCTACATTCGTGACCTTGGTTGCTCTGCCTGCCCATTTCCTGTTCGTGTTGCCATTTGCTCTCTTCACAGGGATCAAGCGAATGGCTCTGCCTGCTCAAGTGATGAGGGATGACATCCTTACCTCCCCTGAAGTCAAGAGGCTTACGCAACAACTCAGCCCTCCGCCTGAAAGGGCTAACCGTCCGATTGACATCGTGGTCATGGGGGCCACAGGCTTGACGGGAAAGATTCTTGCGCAATATTTGAGCGAAATTCACCCCGAGATGAAGATTGCATTGGCAGGAAGGTCTTTAAAGAAACTCGAGGCGACGCGAGACGAGCTGGGAATCCCATCTTCTCAGTGTCAAATCATCATAGCAGATGCATCCAACCTGCAGTCATTGTTTGACATGTGCAAGCAGACTAAAGTTGTCGCATCTACAGCTGGACCGTACAAGAAGCTGGGAAATCTAATTTATCATGCTTGCGCGTTTACGGGAACCCATTACGCAGATATCACTGGAGAGGTTGACTGGGTCAAGCACATGGGCTCCATGTACGAGGGCGTGGCGAAGAAGACTGGAGCCTCGCTTGTCAGCTGCTGCGGCTTTGACTCTGTGCCAAGCGAGATCGGCTGCTTCATGTCCTGCAAGCTCTTCAAAGAAAGATTCCCCGCCGCTTCTCCCTCGCACGTTGAAGTTTGCTTGGACGGAGCGAACGGAGGCGCTCTCCCTGGAGGCACTCTCAACACTCTCGTGGGGTCTGCAGATGGCCTGCACAAGCTTCAGTCTCCCCCGGACTTTCTTGAGCCGCAAGGGGAGCAAACTCGACGAGGAACTGTTAAAGTAGTCAGCCTGTTCTCGCCATTGGTGCGGTCAAGGGCGACCAAACGATGGAGCATCCCCTTCGTCATGGCTCCCATCAACAGTGCGACTGTGCGGCGGTCGGTGGCTCGACGCGGCTACATCAGCAACATCACCTACACTGAACGCGCCAACGCTCCGAACTTGCCTGCAGGCATCCTGGCACTGTCGCTCATCTACGGCATAGGAGGCTTCTGGCTTTTGCTGCCCCCTCTTAGACAATTCCTGAGGACTATTGGAGCCTTGCCTAGAGAAGATGCTGGCAAGAATGCTGTCAGTCTTGAGCGCTGCTTCACAGGCGCTGTTTCATTCCTCGCTGCTGCATCAGGCATGGTTGGTAACGATGAGAAGCATGCTGTAGTGAGGATGCGGGGTCTAGGAGACGGCGGCGTCGCTTTCACGGCTGCTTGCCATGGTGAAGTTGCTTGTCTGCTTGCTCGCTCGTGCCAGGCATCGTCAAAGGTGGATGTGGAGGCAGGAGCCGGCCTGGGACCAGTGGCAGCGTTAGGTGGTGAGACGCTAGCTCGAAGCCTGGTTCAATCAGGTTTCGTCAAGTTCGAAGAGCTGAGTGATCAGGGCTCGAAGGAGATCGCTGTTTGACGGTTTAGAGTTAGATTGACCCGTTTCATCTCAATGATGGTAATTTTCCGAGAGTCAGTCGGAATGAAATGATCAAATCATAGTATGCAGGCCCTTGATTCCACCGGCGTCACGGTGAATTGCCAAGCTGGGACTGATTCATTTGCCGCATCATGCCATGTTGAACCCGTCAATGGACCAACTGACATTGATGACTGGGGGATTTCAGCTCCACCCCTTTAACGAGTTCAGTGTTCGACCGCCGGACAGCCCAAAGTTAAGTTCAAGTCCCGGCGAGCGCGGCCAACGGCCGCGCCGCGGGCCTGTCGGCCGCCAGGTGGCACCCGGTGCCCCCGGGCCGGTGACCGGCCCGGGGGCGCGGGCTCCGGCGGCCGTCACACTTCGGAACGCCGCGGTGGGCGCGGTGGGCGCGCCGGCCGCGCGCCCGCGCGTGGTACCGTAGTACTAGGCCCGCCGGCCGCCGGCCTCCGCCCGGCTCCGCCGTCAGAGTACGGTCGGCAAACGGTCCGATCATCGTCCCCAGGCCCGGCGGGCCCGGGCCGGGCCGAGTCTCAGCCGGGCGGCCAGGCTCCGTACTGCCACCGTCCCCGCCGAACTTCGGCGAACTTCGTGGTGTCCGGCAGTGACGTTCAACGTTACTAAGTTACTTGACAGTGAACTTTGCTGAGTATGGATTTTAACTTAAACGTTTTGAGTAAAGAATTGCCAGTACCACTGACACTCTATCAGTGCAGCCGGCTAGTAGTACTTGAAACTGAAAGGGGCTTCCCGATATAGATTCAGGCTTTGATAGGTCCTGTCTGCGTAGACTTGGGGGTAGGGGTGGTCAGCACACCATTGATACTTGGTTGATACATGGGGCGGGACGGGGTACTTACTTGAAGTGAAGGAACCCACGGGTGGTCCGAACCAGGAGAGGAATGGCGAACCATCTGACGGCTGAGCAAGTGGATCACTTCCGAGAAGTTTTTTCCGTCTTCGACCAGGATGGCTCAGGTTCCATCGATGCTGATGAGCTGGTACGCCATGAACACTGATGTCTCGATGGATGAATGAGACGGAATCCAAACATGCGCTTTAGGCTATCGTCTTAGATGGTTGTAGCAACTGCGAATTGATATCAAACCTTGCACTAATAGATGTGAACATATCACATTGTTAGTGACCAAAAATTCGAATTTCAAGGACTGCAAACAGAAAGTCATGCTGCAGATTTGTATTTTGTATAGGAAAATTAGTGTTCATCAATCGGTTGATGTGATTGGAAGAAGAATGGGTTTCAGTGAAAGTTGGGTTTGCCTGACATTGTACATGTTCACAGGGCGCCTGTCTACGAGCTCTTGGCCAAAACCTGACAGACGATGAGATCAAAGATTTGATAACATCTGTGGATCAGAACAACGTCATACGTCAATTATGTAAATTTTAGCCACTAACACCTTATTCAGAGCGGAACTATTGATTTTGATGAATTTCTTGCTCTCATCGTGTCAAAATCCGAAGCAATCAATTGTGAAGAAGAATTGTTAGCCGCGTTTCAAGAGTTTGACCTTGCGAAGAAAGGAAAGTTGTCTAAGGTGAGAGGCGCACAAGCAATGTTTGTTAAGAGTTGACTTCAAATCAGGACCAATTCTATTACGTTTTCTGTGGAATGGCAGAAACATGTGATGCACAAGACATTGACTACATGCTGAAGCTCTTTGGAGCTTTGGATGAGAATGATGAGGTAGCATACCCCATCGTTGTAAACAAGCTCCTTGAAATTTAGAGGAATGAAACCAAATCCCAAGTTGTCCATATAATCTGTCGCCAGTGAACTTGTTCACCTCTCAAAGTTTCAGCTGCCATTAACAAGCATGCAGTCAGCAAATCATTTTGTTGCTGAAACACAAGAGGAATCAATCATTATCATCCCTGTTTTATTTGTATTCTCAGTAATATACAGTGCTTTCTCATCTAGCTGTGACGGATTGGAGGAAGGAAAATAATACAACCAACAAAGGAGACCTGATTCAGTGCAGCACCATAGCAATTGATATTGGTCGTTGATACAAGTAACCTGAGCCAGCCTCCCTCCTCACTTGTTCTCCCCGTCTTTCTGTTTGCCCGCTCTCCTAATACGTTCTGACATGCGATCGATAGTTCCTTTCACATGCTCCCCCATGCTGAACAATCCAAGGCGTGCTCCCTGGCGAGCAGACCTGAGCAACTGCACAACCTGAGTTCCTGACTTCTCCGTTGCCTTTCCTCGTGCTATGAGAGCTCCTTTCGAATCGTAGCTTGCTCGCTGAATACGATATTGGCTGGGCTCGACAAGCATGTAGGCTAGGTTCTGAAGCGCGGCAATATGCTCGCTCTGAGGAAGAATAGAAAGAGCTTGGATAGCTTCCTCCACGTGCTTCTCAGCGCACTTCTGAACACCCTCGACCGCCTTGAATTCGACAATCTTCTCTCGAACCATCAATAGAGAGTCAATGTTGTCAAACCCATCCCGCGCATACTTTTCCAGCTCTGGCTCAGCATCGATTGCAAACATCAGCGCTCCAGCCCTCTGCAGAGGCTCATTGAGCTCGTAGGGGTCAAATGGAGGGCATTCTCCACCATCCAGGCACTGTTTCATCTTTAGCAGAAGCTTCTCGTAGTTCTTCTCAGTGATTTTCAAGTCCTTCATCATCTGATAAGCAATCCCGATGTGCATACCGTAGTCAAATGCTGCCTTCGCAACCTCTGATCCCCTCTCATAGCCTGCAACAAGAGCAACACACTGACAGCCCGAGGCAAGCAAGTTGCCTGTACGTGTCGCAAGATTCTTCTGGTAGGTCTCCATGCCAAACTTCTGGGTGACAGGACGGTGCAGCTGCATCTGTCCTTTCATGATGGCCTCCAGCGCGCTCGCCATGATCTCCACGATAGCTGTGTTTCTCAGCGACGACAAGAGAACAGATGCCCTCGACAACAAGAAGTCCCCAGCAAGAATCGAAATCTTGTTTCCAGCAACCGAAGAAGCGTAGATACGATGAGCAGCGTTGCCCTTCTCGAGAGCATCGTAATCTTCAAGCACCTATCGAGAGCATCAAGAATCTGGTAGTAAGAGCGTTGGAGATGAGGGATACCGTGTCATGGATAATCGTTGATGTATGCATGATTTCTATGATCTCAGCGATTACCATCGCATCGCCTGTTTGGTGTCAAATTGCTACAGACAGCACTTGTAAGATCACCATGGTGAGCATTATAGTCTTCGCCCTTGAGTGATTTGATGGCTCTCGATCTGCTTCAAGATCAGAACCCAGCAACTTGTTACTAGAAACATCATAAACATACAGAAGAAGAGCGACCATCGGTCTCCAAGTCTTTTCAGGACGCTCAAAAAACTCTTTTGAGGATGACTTGAGCGCTGGGTGTCTTGAAACAAAATCAAGATGACATCATTTCATTGCGCATGTACTCACGCATCTTCACCAGAACCAAGGTTCCGCTCGATCACCCCTCGGATCTTCTTTTTTAGAAGCTTCATGTCTTCCTGCTTAAAGTTAAACACCTCTGCCACCTTTACATTGCCTGTGGACCTGAACAACCAGCATCGGATCTGGACCATCCTCAAGTTTGGCATCAACAAACTCCGGAGATAGCTTGGACGTTGGCTTGGTGGCTGTCATCACTATTCCTCTGCTCCGGGCAACCTGGTTCAAACCAGGCGGGTCATGACATAAGACGTGTAAATGACAAGCAAGAGAGGATTAAGTTACAGTCAAAAACAAAAATCAGAACAGAGATAACTGTATGTGCGTGACCAAGCAACAACAGCAGAGATTCTCACGATCAAACAGCACTGTTTACCTTGTCCATCGCGCTTGTCGGTCTCAGAGGGAAAAGAGAAGAATGCCGCACCTGGACCCCGACATTTCCCACCCACGCCTGAGAAGGATGCAGCCAAGATTGCCCGCAAAAGATAAGCAGCACAACAGAACTGCATTTCCACGATGGCAGCATCTTGACTTAGACTGCAATCACGGCACTGAGTTATACGGGCACTTGGAGGCTTCAAGGCAATTCAAAATGAAAACACAAATAGTGAACATCCCAAAAATTACATGATCGGCTCGAGACGCACACACAATACCCACATAACTAAGCTCATACTGGCTGGCCAACATCTCCACCAAGCTAAGGAAACATTGACGCGACACTAAGCCCATATCAAATACAAATTCCTTGGTATTGATGCTTTTTGTTTTCGTAAAACTATCTCGTGGTTTTGACATGAAACCCCGCCCAACGCACTCTTGCCAACAACAATTTGCCTGTAGTCAACAATTTTGCGCCAAGATGGTTGTGACTCGTGCAGGTCTACTGCGATCAATGGTATTGGACAAGTACAGCTCAAATCCTCTTGCTACCAAGAATACGTGGCGCCATATCCTCCACCCCTTCCTCCTTCTCTTCCTCTGTATGGCTTTTTGCCTCCTGCATTTCAACTACCATGTCGCACTTTACCTGTCCTTTAGGAGCTGCTCAACAAGCCTCCTCCGCTCGATTTTATGAGAGAACTTTGCTTAATATATTTTCAGTACTAATTTTCAATGATGCCTCGTACTATTGTCGTATTTTTCTATTTTAGTACACAATAGTTTTCTTTCGTTCGCAGAAGCACCTATCGGTCACAACTCAGTACCCCATGCAAGCCCATACAGAGTACAATCCATTTTCAACCCCTACCCTTCTTTCTACAGCGTAAATAAAGTAAATCACCAGGTAGTACGGACTACCCACCCCTCCCTCCTAGCCCTAGAGTCTGGGATGAGGGCTTATGTGTCATTAGGTTGAACTCCAAATCAACCCCTGAATTTCAAAGATAATGTCTACTTTTCCCTTTATCTTCTTTGATTTTGAATTTACAGGCAAGTAGTGTTGAAAACAAGACCTTGCATTGCCCAAAGTGGGGGGTGCAGGGGAATATGACAATGATGCAGGGGGGTGGATGATCAAGATGGGGTGGTAACAAAAAGAGCATAGAGGGTGGCAAGTCTGAAAGCGAGGGTACGGTGCTCACGCAGATTTGCTATTGACATAATTGTAAAATCACTAACCTTGACCGCACAATCTTGTCCCTTTCTCTGACACAAAGCTTAGTTTGGTCCGGAGCGGGCGTCATGCAGGAGGTGGAGTAGTTGCGAGGGGAGCAGAGGAGGAAGATTTATCAATCGCAGCAAGCAGCTTGCCATCGTTCTCTGCAAGTCATACTTGCCGGATGAAGCTGTCTCCTCGTCAGACTCTCTGAGCATCACTACTCTCGTCTCCTTGTCGACGTACAGATGGTGTACCGAAACTTTAAGGCGGAGAACTGTATTTACGCGTTGGTTCTGGCATTGCAAATTGAGTTTTCTCAACCCTTCCAAACGAATCTTGTGATATGCAAGAAATTTCTCTCTCGCCCCCTTGGCTTGGGCATATCTGGCCTGTGAGAAACGAAATCTTGTTGCTCTGTGGCTGTAGCACTGATTTGCTTTTATCAGCTCGTCTCTTTCCATCGCGTCTTCTCGGTCTATCGCGTCGATGACTCTAACTCAGACTGAAAGTTCGATCCAAAATGAATTACTTCTAGCTTTGAGTCGAGGTATTCAAATGTGTTTGTTCATTCTTTCAACTTTTGGATGACACATGTTGCTTCTGTAGAAACCAACTCGCTGCAATCCACAATGGCATCACTAGAAGTGGAAAGGTCACAGGCTCTCAAAAGACTCGAAGAGAACAGCTTGAACGAGGAGCTTTTTCCACTCCCTTTATCGCTGCTCAAGGAACAGTCCTTCCAAATGTTGCATACTTCGAAAGTACCGGGAGGTGCTTTGTCCGCAAAGTTTGATGTAAAAATCCCTGAGATGATAACAACAGACAATATCATGTTCAATTTGGACGTGGAATCAATTGATTTCGGATGCACTGAAGTGGTGATTGACGAAGTGAATCAAGAAGATTTGGCGCGTTTAAAACATGTAGACTACCCTCTTGTCATACCATCGAAGTTCTTACAACATTATGGCAGGAAGTGGAGAAGCTCACTGCACAACATAGGTGCTCATATCATATCATTGAACTCGATGTCTGCCGATCACCTTGCCTCCTTTGTTCACCTCTTGGCGAAGTCACTGCCTAACACAATTTCTGACTAGCCACTTTGCAGATCAAACCTTGCTTGGATCAGATTTTTGCGAAGTACAGAGAGAAAGTCTCGAAGTCTATGACGTCACGCGGATCCTTTCATTAAAGATACACAAAAAGCTGCTGGATTGAAATTTCCAACATCTTGTACAAAGATCTCATAACGTGTACAACGTGTTGCGCATTACGCGTTGATAGAAATAGAAACTCCTATTTGAGACCTAGGTCAGATTCCTGAGAAGCCACTACCATAGATATCGCCCTGCATGGCAAGTGGTGGTCAAATCACGTTTGCACTTCAATGCAAGCCTTACAGCTTGTCCGCCGCAGTCAATCATTGTGCAGTGAGAATTTGGTGTTAAACCCAACGCCTGGCATTTTTTCAATCACACCTTAATGTTGGCACCACGTGTGCAAGAATGCAACTAATTACATTATATTTTTCAGCCCAAGTTTCAATAGTATCGTTTTCCCCTGACTTTGGGTATTGAGCATTTCCTCTCGAAGGTTCCAACCAGTTGATTTTTCTTGGATCGCTAATTCCATTTAGCGTTCCCAGGTTTGCCCACAACTACAGAACATCAGTATTTAGTTCAAGAACAGGTATATAGGAGCTATGAAATGCACATGTATACGAAACATACAATGTTCTGACCTTAGTAATCGTTTGGAACATTCCTCGGTTTCAACACCAACTGCGCAAGATTCGTCGTATTCTTCTGCTTCCTGTCGATTAATTCCCTCGACCTTGTATGACGGACTCCTTCTTGCAGCTCCTCCCTGCTCAACCTGCTCTCTCGTCTATTTCAGTCTTGTACCCATTGCCCTCATCCCCTCCCATACCAGGCGGCTTATTTTTGAAAGTGCCCCGAGACCACCACCCTACCCCTTTAATTTCCCAGGTACTTCTATTGAACCACCCACTCGTTGCAGTCTACAACTGGTACCACACTTTGCTTATTTCCCGCGCAATGCTGGGAAGTGGAAGGGAAGGGAAGAAGCGACCAAGGCGGGTGATGGAGGAAAGGAGAAACGAAGAGGGAGGATGTTAGAGATGCGAAAGGAGAGGGGGCGGTAGAGTTTAAGGTTTACGTAAATGCCAGACAAACATGCAAGATAAGTAATAGGATGCAAGGAGCTTGATAATCAACTTGAGCGAGGTAGACAGCCAAACTAAATTCTAAAAGCTAGAATGGTAAGTTTCCTACGGCTGAGAATGGTGGAAGATAAAGGTGATGCATAGAGACGAAGAAGAGACTCAAAGATGACGATGAGGCTGAAACAGAGGCTGCGCCCCGTCCATTCTCACCTTCGCTTCTTGTCAGCAGGCTCCACTATGGCTCGATCCAGCACACAAGGCACTTCTAGCAGTCAGAACGGTTAGACGGCGGCTCATGGTGATAGAACTTCGTGCTAAAATAAGTACAGGAAAGAAGCGAAAGGCGAAACCTTCAAACTCCGATGATGAATCTGAAGGATCGGATGAGGCAGCGTCGCAAGCATATTCGCAAAAAGCTTCACGTCCTTCGTTCGGGAGTTCCGAGCTTCGTCCCTGTGTCAACAAGATCATTCAACTTCTGCTTCTGAGGCGCGTCATTCTTTCTCGCTCTCGTGTTCATGACCTGCATTGCAGAGATACGCAGAAACTTGCCGTTCCTCGTGACAAGATTCTGAAAGTTTTGAAATCAAAACTAGGGGATCGTGGAGCGCGGGCTGCCGACGAGGTTCTCAAGACTGTCAAGATCAAACTAAAGTCTGTGTTCGGCTTCGAACTCAAAGAAGGATCAAAATCTGAACTTTACTCTGATGTGAAGAAAACGCAAAGTAGCCAGGTCAGCAGCTTCTCTGAGTTGGACTCTTCTCACGCTTCCCTTAGGTTTCTCAGAACTCAGTCAAGCATTACTTTCTAGTAAATGCCTTGAAAGTCCCTGCAGAAGCAGTTGACGACCAACAAGAAAACAACGAAAACGGAGGAGATGTCTATCACGACAACGCCATGTGGACCAGGGCCGAGTTGGTTGGACTCGCCTCGAGCTCCCTTGGCCCGTCCTTAGGGCTGACCATGGTCGTTGATTTCGAGGAGAGTTGATGGCGCTGATGGTGTGCTCAGAGCGTGCTTGGGATCGTTGCCATGGAGAAGTACAAGGCGAAGGAGTCAGCATTGCTGGAGGCGATGCAGAGCCTTGGCTTTCGGAATGAACAGGCGCACCCCATCCATGGAGATTCCAACACTGTTTTGAAGCAGCTGTGCAACATGATGTACCTGGAGAAGAAGTCGGAGAAAGACGAAGACGGCATGAACCAATCTTACTACATTCCTGGTCTCCGGGCGGAGAAGGAGATTACTCGTCAACGTATTGTGCGATGGATCGAAAAAGTTTTCAATTGTGACATGACGGATGTAGAAAGGTGAGAGTTTTGATCTATTGTGACATGAAGGTTTGAGGATTGTTCAGGGAGGAATTCTTGGGTGAAGCAGAAGCAGCGCAGGCATAAGCAGAGGCGTTCATGTTCGTGTACAATGAACTAGTTCACATGCTGCTGCTCAGAACCGAACCTGATGACACAAGTCATCGAGTAGAGAGTGACTTGGCCGAAGAGGGAACCCTAGGAGTGCGAAAGAGGAGAGCTGACCGGAAACTTGCTGATAGTGTTGAGTATGCAATAGTCAACAGGCGTTGGTTGGAGATAGATTCGCTCCTGCTCGACAAATCAAAACCACCAGAGAGACTGCAAGCAGCTACCGGGTTGAAAGGAAGGACCGCACGATCCACCCGCATGCCCCACACGTAAGCCTAGAGAGTATGCGTCAACTTGAAGCCTCTCCTCCTCCTTCTGCTTCCTGCGACGCGTCTTGACCCGATAGGTCGGCGATGCTGACCACAGCGATGGAGTGCATGGGCCCACACTCGATCCTGCAGCTTGTGAGGCAGGACCGAGGTGAGGCGGGGGAAGGGGGGGGAAGAAGGAGGCAGGCAGAACGGGGTGAGGCGTCATACACGTCAACCTTGTCACTTGCAGCCCCTTGAGCGTTCGGAGCCGCTGAGGAAACGTCGAGCTGGTGTTGCCCCCCAACCCGAGCTGACCGTACTTCCCTTCCCCGCATGCAAACACTGACTTCCTTGCAAACCATCGTTGCGAAGCAGCAGCCAATGGAGGCCCGCACATCGTGAGACAAATCTGAGATGAGAAGGAGAGAATTCAGTAAGAAGAGGAAGAGAAGAAGACAGGGAAAGCAGGAACATGATGGCGGTCACGAGAGAGAGGAAAAAGAGAAGTGAGAGGAGAAGAAGAGAGCATGACTTGCAGCTCACAGTGTGCTTCAAGCCTCCCCGAGCATCCAGACATTTCTCATCTGCAGGCAACGAAACACGTTGAGGGGTTTCGCTGCAGTCTGATTAAGCACTCCGCACTGACCTCCGCCACTACAACAGCCTTCAACTCCCCTCTGCTGTCTGCTCCCATACCTTCCACGCGCCAGTTTGTCTCTTCAACGCGCCCCACCTCCTCCTCGAGATCATTCCCCTACTCCTGCTCCCTTCACTGCTACTACAACTCACCTCAAAAGGTGTGAGCGAAAACCAACGCCTAGCTGTCCATCTTCGTTGTTCCCTGGACGTAGATCAGACACTTGATGTTGCTCGTTTTTCTCAGCTACGCCCCTGCCCATCCCATCTTCTCTATTCCATACCACCCTCCCTCCTCTTGCTCCTTCACTACCCCATGAGAACAAGTCGCCATCGGAAGTCACGGCGAGGCTATGCCATTGTCCGCAAGCGATTCTTCGAAAGCTTTTAACGGTCAGCAATGAGAAGGAGGAGGAGGAGGGTTATCACTCGTATCTCTGAAGCTCTGAGGAGAGAGCAACTTGAGCTGGCTGAGCTGGGCGTCAGCTCGAGCCTGTCAAGCGACACGGAAACCTGTGAGACTGTGCTCCCTGCATGCAGCCCGAGACCCAGCTGGGCAGGTAGTCAGGGAGGGCGAGGAGGGCGAGGAGAGCGAGCACCTGACCAAAGCAGTTGCTGCCAAACACAAAGATCCTCCCGTCCTCGCTCAGCATCAGCGTGTGAAATCCGCCGCATGCAACTTGACGGATCTGAAGGAGAGGATGAGACAAGAGGAGGAGGAAGGCGAAGGACCTGAAGCTCAGCAGCAGCAGGAAAGTAATGGGAGATGTCAACAGGTTGCTCGTAGAATCTGCTGACCGTCATTGCCGGCAGCTCAGAGTCACTTCGCACGTCAGCTCAGGCATCGGGAGGATCCCCATGCTGTTGTCGCCAAATGCCGAGACTTTTCCATCGGCTGCAATGGATCGTCAGGACTCGTCGACAAGCCTCGCTCGCGTCACCCTCGACTAGGATCGCATGTCTGTACCCGCAGTCCTGCAGAAACTTCATCCCCCTTGAGATCATACGACTCACGTGACCGCAGACAAACACTCGAGCTCGAGGTCTTCACGGATGAGCGTCTGAAGCGACGGGTGTCAGACCTCTAGATCCGTTACGGGACTAGCCAGGCACCTTTGACGTCGCTTGACCCTCAGCGGTATGGTTGTGCCTGAGGCTTTGCCTGTGCCTCAAGCTGCCAAGACTGAAACCGACTCGCTGCTGCTGCTGCTGCTGCTGCTGCTGCTGCTGCTGCTGCTGCTGCTGCTGCTGCTGCTGCTGCTGCTGCTGCTGCTGCTGCTGCTGCTGCTCTTGCACGGCCCCGTCGCCTAGGAATCTTGACAGCGAATGATCTCAGAGACAGAGATGAGGTCAGCATCCGCTTTACTTCTCTTTGACTTCTTGGCCTGCCAGAGAGCGATCTGCCAGCTTTGACGTTCTGCCGTGGTAGATAAAGACACAACCGTTGGTCAGACCTCAGCTCAGTTCCGACCTTCACTTCCCGACCTTTGCGTTTGAGGAATTCTGCTGGGAGATAGTGAAGGAAAGAAGCTGCTGCTGGTATGAGCAGCAAGGCAAGAAGATGAAAAATTAGCCGAGCCTGCGATTTCGACGCTTGAATGAAGTGGCATCATGTGCATTGTGATGTTTCTTGCAGCAACCATATCAAAATAAGCATCAAGAGACTCGTAGCAAGCATACCCAGGGTGAAATCATATCGTTGCTGAAGTTCTGGTTCAGACAGTGACTCAACTGTGCAGCATCAAACGTGTCAGTCCGGTGGAACATAACTTTCACACGTCACGGCTGGCCACGCGCCTGTATGGCTGCAGAGCTGTTGGAATGCCTGAGATCGTTGAAGTCTAGGAAGTTGACGTCGCACTTCAAGCTGTTCTTGCCGTTGGGCGTGATGCACTCGCTGTCAGTCGGGGAGCTGCAAGGCGAGAGCTCTGCAACTCGTTTCAAAGTTCTCCTACTGATGAGATCACAAACCTGGTGTGGAGGAAAAAAACCTGCTAGAGGACAGAGGCAAGGAAATCCCGCGCATGTTGGAAAACCATTCCTCCGCCTCTTCCTCCTGCACTCGCTCTCTCGACGTCAGACTCTTTGACACCTTGGAAGCGCCATTGGCCCGGAGCTGCAGAGGAGGTATTCGCGGTTTGGGAGACCGGAACGGCTGCTGAGGCAGGTTGGGAGGGCTTTGCAGGGGATGAAGGGGGAAGGCGCGAGTCTGGTCTTTGATAAGACCTAAAGGCTGTCAGTCAGATTGCAACATGGAATGAAGTAAACGCTAGCGAGCGGCATTATGATGAAAGGATACGACAGCATAAGCCGGGCGCTGTGTCATGTTGGATTGTCGTCATCCTACCTTGGGGATGGCAAACGTTGATGTAGTGCACTGCTTCTCGCATGGACGTGATCTTTGAGAGGAGGTTAATGCCTCGCGCCAAACCCTCCCCATCGTTTGCCATGTGACTTCTGCCCTCACCTCAAGCAGCCAGCACTGCCCAGTGAATCCTTTCCCATCCCGTCGTGTAAATTATCCCGCCCAGCATGACTCAAGCAACACACACATCCCTCAGTGCTTATGATTCTCCCGGTCGTCGTCCTCATTCATCTGCTGAACGCATTAGTTTCGACTTTAAACATTCTGTTCTACTTCTCCCCTCTTACAATCCAGTCAGATCTTGTCAACCCTTTACGTTCTAACCAACTTCCACACCATTACTCAATTCCTCTCTCTCCGCCCACTCACGCAGCCCAACACCTCTTCATACTATTTCTATGCGAACTCTCCTGATCATCCCATTCTCTTCATGTTTCATACCACTACTTTCAATACCGCCTTTCCTATTTGTCTTCTTCTCTCTTCTCTCTCCATCTCATTCTCCTCTCCTCTCCTTCTCTTATCCTCTTATCCTCTTATCCTGACCCCTTTCAAGTCTCCTTGCTTTCGCTCTTCCGAGTTCATACGACTGTCAACATTGTCAGGGTCAACATATCGGGCGTGTTCGGTGCATGTGACAGAAGGAAAAAAAAAAGTCAAACGGCCCAGATCATCCGGGCCCGGTCGAAACCACCCGGGGGACTATCCGGAAGAATCAGAGGGGACGTGAACCAGACTAATTTTAACTTAATTTTAACTTTGAGTAAAGACTCACTACCAGCAGCCTAAAAAAAAATGACCCGGCAGTTGAGAAGGCTGGCAACTTGAGTACCCCACTACCCCTCTTCATTCTAATAGAGAGGTACTGTAGTGCCCTGCAATAGAGGGGTGGGGTACCCCCTAGATTGGCTGAGGGCCGGATTCCGGCTCACCGGGCCCGCATAGATAAGTAAAAAAAGCAAAAACAGTAAAGTTGATCTGATGAGGGGTGGTCCTGGGGCCACTGGTACCAAATGCTTTCCAGGTATTCAGGGGTAGGGTGGTCGCCCCGCCTGAAGCAACCGCTAGTGCTATCAAATACATTAGTCAATGTCAGCAGATGAGGAGAGGACGGGTGGTCCAAAGGGTGAAATGCGAGGAAAGAGGGGAGGATTAAAAAAAACTATTTTGTAGTGAGGCAAAGGGGGTAGGGTCAGTCGAGCGGTGGAGTCACTATCTATGGAGGGGTGGGGGGTGGCTTCCTGGACTGAATCAAAAAAGATTCCATTCCACCCTTGAGAGAGGAGGTGGGGGTGGGGTCCAGGGTTGGACAATTCCGCTAACTAGGGGTGGTTTGCATTCCCTGTACCCACCAATTTACAGTCCCTCGATGGGTTCACGGTTGGTAGTGGTTGTGGTAACCGGTAGATGATTTTGGGGGGTTGTTTGAAGGATCAATGATACGGACCGGTAGGCTAATTGGAGAAGGGATAGGGGATACACAACGATACTAGGGCCTGAATAAGAACTTCCATACGGGTTAGAAGTTTGACTTGGACTAGGGGGTGGGTACTACGGTAGTTGAGTCGGTTGGGACATGGATGGTAGGGGTCACATTCACTTCTTGAACTAGGGGTGGAGATATGTTGGGGTCCTTGTGGGTAGGGGTGGTCTCATGAAATCAACGTCCATGCAACCAGACGGCGGAAGAGAGATGGAGGAGGACGAGGAGGAGAAGAGGGAAAGGAGAATGGATTTAGCGAACGCTATGAGATCAGAAAGACAAAGAGACAACAGGAACGCAAGAGCCGGGGGCTGAGCTGAAACAGCTGGGGAAAGAATGCAGAGATAGAACAAGGTTTGCGTTTGATCATACCGGGGGCAGAGCGGTGTTGTATGTGGATTTCACTTTATCTTGTTGTCGAAAACAATATGTGACATATTCAGCCTTCAACTGGCAAATGACTTAGCTTTAGTCTACTTATTTATCGATCCTTATAGATAGATAGGACGAAACGCAAGATGTATAGTGTAACTTGATTGTTTGTCATGAATGTCGACAGAACCTGCGGCTCACGAGTGTGATTGATTTTTATGTTTGCGGGGTTTCAAGTAATTGTCTCCATGAGATGCAGTCAGATTCATGCATTTCTTCGTGACGCTCTGTGATGGCTCTCTGTTTCTGATTTTACTCCAGGTGACATCGGTCTCTCGGTTCAAGATTGCAGATTGGGCATAAGGCATATACCTACATGAAATCATAAGGCTGTCCCTCACAAGCTCACTTTCATGCAAGGTAAGGGGAAATCGTTTCAGGTTTACGAACTTTGAACTTCAATGGGCTGCGGAGCATCGACCTCGGCGCCCGTGATACTAGCTGAGGCTGAAGGAGAAAGAGCCAACAACCATGATGAGCATGACAACAACCATGATGAGAACAACACCGATGAGAACGAGACGCATGTCAACAACCAGGAAGAACCTCATGACACCAACAACCAAGATGACGAACTTGAAGAAGACGAGGTGATCGCGCCTCTCCGACACAAGAGGCTCTCAGACGTGACGGACAACGACAACGGAAAACATCCCTCGTTCGGCAGCAACGGGGTAGACTCAGTGATGTCAAGTTTCTCAACCATCTCCTCAAGTGGAAGCCCAAAACCGGAAGAACCCACCAAGACCTCTCTGTTTGCAAAACTGCAACACGAATACGCGAGATTTCTAATCAACTTCGCTGCTATGTTAGGCAGTGCGAGAGATTCACCCGAGGTATGCTCAAAAGAGCTCGTGAGGTTTGAGACGAAAGATTGACGAGTCTGCAAAGGCCAACGATGTCATTGAAGCCTTCTCCAATTTGCCTCCAAAGAAGCCAAAACTAGAAATTCGAGCAGTACGCTGTGATTGTCTTCACTGTATTGTTTTCTGACGACGCTCTTCTATAGTTTAAATCGCATACCTTAGACAACATCAAAATCAGGAAAGTTTGTGACGAGTTTCTTAGGCTTGAGGTAATTGCAATGTGGCAATCTGTGCTATTTAGCATGATGATTGAACAGGATCCCAATCATGCTTGTCATTGCTCTACGGAGGACAGTTGGTCGGAACAAGACCTTCTTGTTTTTTCTTCTTGCTTCTTACTTCTCGCCAGGCTGCCAACCTTACAAACAGCTCAAGGAAAGCATATCCATGGTATCCGTATGAACATCAACCCTGAAGTGAGCATCGGAGGGTAAGCGTCATCAATACTGAATGATCCTCGATTTACGCATCCCGTACAGGTTCTTCATGATTGCTCAAATGTTGAGTTACATCAAAGCTCTGATAGTCTTGGACCTTTCCAACACTCAGGCATAGGATGATCAACGTCAAGGAATATCAAATTCATTCTTGAGTTGCAGATTAAGTCATCGGAGGCGCGAGTTCTTGCTATCGGCCTGTCGCAGAATGTATCAGTGCAAGGTGAACGGGCATGATACGGTCGCGAAAGTCTAACGGCGTCCGTAGAGCTGAGGATGAAAAACAACCAGCTCACGTCCGTTGGAGCTACAAGCATGGCGGAGGTCAGCGAGGAACGGTCGGTCTAGTTGAACTCAAATATACTTTTTTCAGGTTCTGAAATCAAACACAACTCTTCTGCTTATGGACCTCCGATCGAACGGCATACGGGGAACAGGTTGCTCTCTCTTGCCATGCTTCAGCCCCCACTCTTCGTGAGCGACTGATCCAAACCATGAAGGGATTTGTGCGCTCGCAGACGCTATGGATGAAAACAAAACTCTCACAGAGTTGGACTTGCGCTGGAACTACAGCGGCGAACGTTCCGACTACGTCGTGGAGGTACCTCAATCTTGTCTTTTCTTGTCTTGTCTTTTCTTGTCTTGTCTCCCGTTCTGATTGTCACTACAGGCTTTGCTGGACTTGAAGAAGTGTTGTCTCCGCAACCTGCGACAGTCGATGAACAAGTAAAATGCAACGAGAGAGGAGGGAGGGTGAAAGGAAGGGAAAGACATTGGAGGGCGCAATGGAGGGCATAAGAGATGTGAAATGCAAAAGCTGACTTGCTCTTGTAGGTTTCAAAAGCCATTCGAGAAGCTTTCGGAGGTGATCGCATGCAACCGACTCTTTTGATGACTTAAAGTCACCAGGATTCCGACCCCAGCACAGATCCAGCCGACACTACCAATGAGGTGAACACCGCCTTTCCCTCGCTGATTCACTACAACATCTTCCAAGACCTCATCCTCTTGCTCGTCCCTTCGTCTCGCTCGCTCATCTCGGGGGCACAGGAGGCTCCGTCTATCGGCATTTCGCGCCTCCCGAGCTTCGCTCCCGCCCTCTGCCAGTACAGGCTTGAAGTCACCATCCGAGGCGCACGAAACTTGCCGCAGGTAGGAGTCATTTTCAGCTCCAACGACATTTTAAGCCCTCCCAAGGTGATCTGGAACGCGGGGACACAAGGCGAATGTCCTGGGATGCCGCAGGCAAGTTTTAGAGTCTCGTGCTGCGGCAAGAAGTGAGCGAACGATGGCAGGGCTACTGCGTGATGCACGTGAACCGCCAGACTATCCGCACAGAGGTCTGATGGATGAGAGAGGAAGGAGGAGAAAGAAGAACATGCTGCTGCTGCTGCTGCTGCTGCTGATGATGATGATGATGATGATGATGATGAGGAGGAGGAGGAGGAGGAGGAGGAGCATGGGTGAGAAAGTGCCCGAATCCACTCAAAAGAGGGCAGGTGATGAAGAAGAGCTGGAACCCCGTGTGGAATTGTATGTTCAGTGCAGCGATCAAGAACGTCTGGCAGGTAAAGATGGATAGAGTGAACATCTGAAGCTCAACAGAACGTCAGGTCTGCGTCATCCGCGTCATGCACTCCAAGACTGTCGACGCGAAGCATGCGGACGACATGTCAATCGGTTCTGTCTTTCTTGTCATCCAGTCAAGGTTGACAGGCCGACAGGAACTCTCTGCGTATCCATCGGAGAGATTCTCAACTGGAAAGGTCGGAGGAAGGGAGGGAGAGAGCAAAGGTGATTTGAGCGCAGGCGTGTCAAAGAACGTCCTTGACACCGGGGAGTGCATGTGGCAGGCCTATCATCGCCCGGCTAACGTGCGTTCCTCCGTGCTACCACCTTCCCTTCATTATGCTCATCCCCCCCCCCCCCTCCTCCCTCCTTCCTCCTTGTCATATGCTGTACCCCTGCTATGATTTGACATGTTCTTCTCTGCCGCCTGACTCGTCTGCTGCAGGCTCAGAGGGGATGTATCTACACCATCTGCCGCGGACTCAACAAAGAAGGTCAGCGGAAGAGGAGGAAGAGGAGAAGGTAACTGCGAGCAGGGGACGAGGTCGACCTCTTCGAAACCGCCGAGGAGGCTGCACGAGCCTACGACCTGGTCAGGACACGAGCAAGTGAGATAGACGTTGACAAGGCTGCCAGGTTGCGTCAAAGAAGGATGGAGACAAAGTAGGACTCAACTTTGAAGGTCAGCATTGGAGCAAGCTGATCCTTCCTTCTCCTCCTCCTCCTCCTCCTCGTGCTCGTGCTCGTCGTCCCTCCCCTCTCTTTCCTCCGACTCCTCCTCTCCTCGTCCGACGCTTTTCTCCCTACTTCTCTTTAGCCTTTTCTCAAATTGTCAAAAGGCACCGAGAAATCCCTTGGACGGCATGTGCTTGACTCTGATTTTCTTCTCTCCGGCGATGACGGTCAAGCTTCCGCGTCTTGCTGCCTCGCTGACCGTCAGACCTGCTGACAGGCATGAGTGTCATTGGAGTTCAAGCTGGGGTCATGTCTACCATCTCCGTCTGCTTCAAGGTTCTTCCCGACTCCTCCACCTCTTTTTCTGTGGATTGTCATTCTCTGCTGATTCCCTTTCGGCCCCGCACCTTCCTCTCTTCCCTACCCCTCCTTCCTTCGTTCTCTCTCTCTCCTCCCGTTTCGTCTCTTGCAAGTGATGTTGGTCTTCAGCTCTACGATCTCTCGATCAACTACCTGGAGGTTTATCTCGACAGCGCTTCCTGTAGCTCTCTCCCCCCCTCTCTTGCTCCCCCTTAACTTGTCCCAGTCCTGCCCAAGATGGATGCGGGGCTCGGAACCTGTGATGCCTACTGCGTGCTGCTCATCGGGGAGACCCACAAGTAAGTAAAAGAAGAAGGAGCAGGACAGGGAAGGGGGGAGGAGAACGAGAAGAGGAGGGAAGAGAACGAGGATGAGGTGGAGGATCGAGTTGACGAGGTGCCAGGTTTAAGAGCAGAGTGGTCAGGAACTCGTTGGATCCTCACTTCGATCAGGTGAGCAAAAATAGAGGCGAACGAGGGGAGCCAGATGGAGGATAGAGAGGATGGGAGGGTGGGAGGGGACTTGAGGGTCAGAGAGGATATCTGGAGGAACAAACATGGAGGACGAGGAAAAACAAGGAGGCGAGGGGATAGGGAGAGCAATGCAGTTTGAGCATGGTTGAAGTAACCTGCTTTGTCTTCAGATGTTTCGCATCTGTGTTCCTCCTGACCTTGAAGTTCTTCCGATGGAAATTCAAGTGAGTTTCTCCTCTCTGCCCCAACCCCCACCCCTTTGCCTCCTCCCTCCCTCCCTCTCACCCTCCCTTCCTCTCCTTGTTTTTCATCCTCCTCCAGGTGTGGGACTGGGACAGATTCGACGACGACGATCATATTGGAAGTGCCTTCTGCGACCTCACTCCCCTTATCCGCAAGTCTGACGAGCCGACCCCGTACGCGATGCTCTCTCTTTAAGTTGTGATGTCTAATCGCTTCCTCCTCCTCCTCCTCCAATTCCTCTTCCTCCCTCTCTCTCTTCCTCCCTCTCCTCCTCTTCTTCTCATCTTCCTCCGCTCCTTGCTCTCGTTTTGTACCTCTTTCATTTCTCTTCTGCTTGCATCTCGTTCTACAGGACTGTCGTCACTGCGGCCATGCTCGCCAGGCAGTCGACTAAGCTCGCATTGTCTCCCGATCCCTCCTCCGTCAGTGACAGCCAGCCGCCTCAAGAAGTCTCGAAGATCCCGAGCATCCGCACCAAGGGAAAACGACTGAGCCCGCCTCCCCAGCTTTCCGATCTTGTGCCCAAGTCAAGCCTTGATGGTGCGACCCTGTCGTCTTTTCGTCTGCCACTCCAATGCACTCTCCTGTTCTCTCCTCTCCTCTGTCCCATACCCACCTCATCCTCCTTGCCGCTATCCTGCCCTGCCCTCTGATCTCGTGTAATCTCGCCGTTGCATGGCAGGAGCGTACTCTCTGCGAACTCCTGACGGCAATGATTTCGTAAAGAACGGCAAGGAGCAGATTACCCAAGTGAATATCCGGTAATTTCTCCCATATTTTCCTCTTTCCTCCTTCTCTCTCTTGGTCTCCACCCTATCCTTCATCTCCCAATCTGTCCTTGTTCTTCTTCCTTGTTGTTGCCCTCCACGTCATCACCTTGTTGGTTGTTCACCTTCTTGGTTGTTTACCTTGTTCGTTGTTTCCGTCGCTCCTCTCTTGACTCTCCTCTGCTTTTCCAACTCGCGTGCCTCATTTGCCTTTGCCCCTTTCGTCTCAATTGTGATGTTCTTTCTCACTGGCTTCACTCCATAGCTTCGTCTACACGCCCGCGGAGATGAAAGACGATTGAAGAGGATGTAAAGTAGCGGAAAGGTCAGGTCTTCTAATGTATCATGTGTAACGTAAAAACAAGAGAATCGTTCGATTCGAAGTGACAACATTAAGAGGAAATGATGGCACTGATGTTAACTCACACGATCAGCGACAGATAGATGAAAAGAGGCTTGCAAGACATATTCACTGAGGAGTAAGAAAGGCAACCGGGTTTAGGTACATCCCTAGAATAAGCCAATATGAAGAAGTTCTTGATCACCCAACAAACATCTGCTGCTTTTTTGAATAACCAATGATGCACATTTGCTCCTTCTCTCAGATGTGGTAGTAACATCAAACATCAAAAAAGAAAACGTCCAATTGTGAAAAAAATTGAGGCAAAGAAGAAAAAACAACAAACACAAATTGTAGATAAAAAAAAAAACACAACAAAAACAAGTGACAAAGCTAAGTCATCTTCAAAGACAGCCAAAGATAAACAATACAAATAGACTTTGCTTTATTCTACATAGACATCTTCTTCCTAGCTTACAAATACCCGTGCTCCCCCTACTCCTCCTGACATGCTCCCACTCGCTTCGCCTTGAACGTCTGCCCGAAGCTCGGCTGCAGCATCCTCCGTCGGTCGAAGCCTCCGCTCAAGTAGCTGCTCGGCGGCATGTCGACCGCTGCAGGCCTGGGAGGGTCCGCCTCCGGGCTCGTCCCGTCCTTGAAGTCGTCGTCAGAGAGGATAAACTGCACCAGCGCTGCCGCCAGCACCAGCATCACAAAGCCGAGATGCCCGAGATGGCTGAGGCTGAGGCAGACAGCATGACGGCAGGTCCCCATAGCCAGAGATGCGCTGGACCCCCCGGGCATGAGCAAGAGATCGGCGGGCTGGGCAGAGGCAGCTTGCCAGTCCGGAGAGGCGTACAAGAGAGAGGTCATGACGGAGGGGGGAGGAGAAGGAAGGAGCAGGAAGGAGGAGGAAGCTTTCAAGGTCTCAAGCAGCAGCGACGGCGAGGACAGAGGCTCAAGGGCTGGGCAAGCAGTGAGGGAGCGCGGAGCTTGATGAAGCACCCAGACAAGGCAAGACCTTTTAATAAATGAGTGGCGGGGAAAAGGAGGCCAGGGGGGTATCGTGATCTCCTGTGGTGTATGTGAGCAGGGAGACAAGAGGCTGTGGCCGGTCGTGCCACCGGTACTTTTGTCTCAGGAGTACCCGGGTGCTTCCCCTCGGAGTAGACCACCCTACCCGTCCTCAGATCCGGCCCGGAGTGCATGGATCTTGAGGTTAGGTCCTCTTACCACCAGCGCCTTCGAGACGAGAATCGAAGCTTCTCGAGGCCTCCGAACCTCCAGATCCGGCTCGTCGGACTTGCTCTCCGAGCATGCGATGTGGTCCCATGCTCCATCCGTCAGCCTCGGGCTCTATCTCCGAGCCCTCCCAGTGATCCCATGCTCCTTCTCCCGTCAGCATCCCTGGCCATGTCTATTTGAAGCTTCCCCGGCCTGTTCCTCCTCCAGCGCCTCCCCTCCCACCCACTGCTTCGTCCTCCCATCCCACTGCAAAAGAGCCTCCCCCACCGTTGGCTTGCCTCCTGTCTCCTCCCTCCCTCCCTCTCTTTCAGGCTCCTTCGACTCTTGTCCTGTACCCGCCCTGTACCCATCCTTCCATCTCCTCCTTGATCTTTGCTTTCTCCCTCACCTCGTCGCCATGACTTGTACCTGCTGCCTCCCCTCCCGCGCCAAGCAGCTCGCCGCCCTGCAGGCCTCCATCCGCCTCATCCAGTCAGGCAGGGCCGTGGTGGGCGCCACGGGAGAGCTGATCCAGCTGAGACCGCCTGCTCCTTCCGCGACCGCGAGGATCGAGAGCCCCGGAGAAGAGCAAGCCAAGGCCGCGATGCCGAGCGAGTCGGAGAGAGTGTCGTCGTGCTGAGGGTGTAGAGTAGAGAGAGCCAGGGTAACATGTACATGTCTAAGTATTGAAGAATGAACGCCATTCCAACCACCCTCAGTCTATCTCGACCAGCCTTGAGCCTCCGCCTACTTCGGGGCTGAGCGATCGTCTGCTGAGCGAGGAGCAAGCCGATGGCCGCGTCCATGACCGAGGGCTATATCGCAGCCGGGGGCGGTGCCGCCCAGCCGGTCTCGAGGCCGCCCCGCAAGCCTCTGAGACTACAAGTCAGCCCGCTTGTCCGAGCTGGAGCCTTGGCAGGTGGGGGGGCCAGAGGACGAGAGCCACCTGAGTAGAGACGCTGCGATCAGTCACAAAGCTATGTCATCTTGACCGAGCACGGGCGTTGCTTAGTGACATTGCTTTATTCTACATAGACATCTTCTTCCTAGCTTACAAATACCCGTGCTCCCCCTACTCCTCCTGACATGCTCCCACTCGCTTCGCCTTGAACGTCTGCCCGAAGCTCGGCTGCAGCATCTTCCGTCGGTCGAAGCCTCCGCTCAAGTAGCTGCTCGGCGGCATGTCGACCGCTGCAGGCCTGGGAGGGTCCGCCTCCGGGCTCGTCCCGTCCTTGAAGTCGTCGTCAGAGAGGATAAACTGCACCAGCGCTGCTGCCAGCACCAGCATCACAAAGCCGAGATGCCCGAGATGGCTGAGGCTGAGGCAGACAGCATGACGGCAGGTCCCCATAGCCAGAGATGCGCTGGACCCCCCGGGCATGAGCAAGAGATCGGCGGGCTGGGCAGAGGCAGCTTGCCAGTCCGGAGAGGCGTACAAGAGAGAGGTCATGACGGAGGGGGGAGGAGAAGGAAGGAGCAGGAAGGAGGAGGAAGCTTTCAAGGTCTCAAGCAGCAGCGACGGCGAGGACAGAGGCTCAAGGGCTGGGCAAGCAGTGAGGGAGCGCGGAGCTTGATGAAGCACCCAGACAAGGCAAGACCTTTTAATAAATGAGTGGCGGGGAAAAGGAGGCCAGGGGGGTATCGTGATCTCCTGTGGTGTATGTGAGCAGGGAGACAAGAGGCTGTGGCCGGTCGTGCCACCGGTACTTTTGTCTAAGGAGTACCCGGGTGCTTCCCCTCGGAGTAGACCACCCTACCCGTCCTCAGATCCGGCCCGGAGTGCATGGATCTTGAGGTTAGGTCCTCTTACCACCAGCGCCTTCGAGACGAGAATCGAAGCTTCTCGAGGCCTCCGAACCTCCAGATCCGGCTCGTCGGACTTGCTCTCCGAGCATGCGATGTGGTCCCATGCTCCATCCGTCAGCCTCGGGCTCTATCTCCGAGCCCTCCCAGTGATCCCATGCTCCTTCTCCCGTCAGCATCCCTGGCCATGTCTATTTGAAGCTTCCCCGGCCTGTTCCTCCTCCAGCGCCTCCCCTCCCACCCACTGCTTCGTCCTCCCATCCCACTGCAAAAGAGCCTCCCCCACCGTTGGCTTGCCTCCTGTCTCCTCCCTCCCTCCCTCTCTTTCAGGCTCGCTTCGACTCTTGTCCTGTACCCGCCCTGTACCCATCCTTCCATCTCCTCCTTGATCTTTGCTTTCTCCCTCACCTCGTCGCCATGACTTGTACCTGCTGCCTCCCCTCCCGCGCCAAGCAGCTCGCCGCCCTGCAGGCCTCCATCCGCCTCATCCAGTCAGGCAAGTCCCTGGTGGGCGCCCGGCACGGGAGAGCTGATCCAGCTGAGCCCGCCTGCTCCTTCCGCGACCGCGAGGATCGAGAGCCCCGGAGAAGAGCAAGCCAAGGCCGCGATGCCGAGCGAGTCGGAGAGAGTGTCGTCGTGCTGAGGGTGTAGAGTAGAGAGAGCCAGGGTAACATGTACATGTCTAAGTATTGAAGAATGAACGCCATTCCAACCACCCTCAGTCTATCTCGACCAGCCTTGAGCCTAAACCACCGCGAACTCGAGGGTTGCCGGTAGTAGTGGGGATCCCCGCACGGCGGAGGCTGGCGCAAAGCCTCAGGTGGCCCGCGGCCGGGCGTGCCCGGCTTGGCCGGCGGGGCCCCCGTCCTGACTCAGTGAGCCGCGAAAGAGAGTCGGGAACCGCCTTGCCGCCGGCGCGGTGCCGATCATGAGCCTTCAGGCTTGTGACTCGAGTGACCATGATCATCATGACATTTTGCTCTCCGGGCGGGGGGGCGCACCGTGCATCGCGCGGTCTTTCGGCGGGTCGGATTCCGGGCAGTCCGTGACGGTGATCGGACTGAGGCTCCGGGCTCACAGGCTAGTAAGTTTCGCAGCGACTCCCGGAGGCTCCCATCGGCCGTCGGGCCCCGCCGATTTTTGAGCCCGGTCCCCGAGTCAGAGCTTGTGAATGGCCCGGCCGGCGGAGTGACCGGCGGCTGTCAAGCGGCGGCCGCCGCCCCCGGCTGACTCAGTGCGGCAGTGACCGCCGCGCGCTGACTGAGTGCCCGGATCACAGAGTAACCGACACACCTTGCGATGTAACCGACATTGAGTCAACTTGACTTGACAGGAGGCGGCAGAAGCCCCCAAGAGCCTTGCTGAAGGAGGCCTGAGGGTGAGGAAGGGAGGGGGGGGAACCGGAGGTAGGAGGCCGACTACCACTGCAAGACTGACTCAGCCTAAGGGCCTAGAGGAATGAAGGAGGACTCGGATCAAGACGAGCAAGGGCTATAACGCACGGGACCGACTGCTGAGACGGAGAGATCGCTAGGGGAGGAGCAGCAAGCTCAAAATATCAGGTTGGGAGAAGGAAACAATGGCTCCGCATCTCCCTTCCCTGTTCTCCACTTCTTGCCCTCCTCCTCCCACCGATTGGGTGCTGCATCGAGAGATAGGGGGCGCCCGAGTCTTTCTTCCGCCGCCCGCCAGCAGGCAGGTGGAGAGGCAGCAGGAGCTGTTGGCCACGAGCTGCAAGTTCAGGAGCACAGCGAACAGGATGGGGGTTGCAGGGAAGAAAGGGGAAGAGAACTGCAGGTACCTGTATAGAGGAGGCGGCTGGCAGGCTCCTGTTCGGAGAGGCGACTCGTTGTTTGCCGTGAACGAGGAGGAGGAGGAGATGAAGAGGAGGAGAAATAGGCCAATGCTGCCGCTGGTTGACTGGAGAAAGGCGAAGGAGTTCATGGAGGACGGGAGAGAGGAGGTCAGGCTGCCTTTGTGCAGTATGCTCAGCACTTGAGGGAGAGAAGATCGTGGAAGACGAGACCGGGGGGAATGGTGGAAAAGGGAGAAAAGGAGGGAGGGAGGGAGGGAGGGAGGGAGGGAGGGAGGGAGGGAGAGTGATTCTGTGTATAGTCATGAAGCAAACAAAGGACAAACAAAATCCGCAAAATCCCCTCATACTGCCTCTGCTCATCCTCCTTCGCCTCCTCCAACTCGCCCTGTGTCGGTCCTCCTTCCTTGTCAGCTGCTCAAGTTCGCAGGAGTCCGCAGCACGAGAGAAAGAAGCAGGTCCCGAACAGAAGCGCGGCACTACCAATGGAAGAGATAACGGTGACCTGAGGAGAGGGTGAGGATGAAGAAACAAGGGGAGAGGAGGGAGATGGCGATGATAGCAACAAGTGTAAGAAAGGAGAAGTCAATAGATGTTCAAGAACAGGGGGGGTTGGGAGGGGAGAAATGAAGAGTGGAGCAGAGAGACAAGGAAAGAAATCAGGAAACAGGAGGGGAATATCAACGGAAGGAGAGGACAGAAGAGCATGTCGTTGAAAGGAGGGACAGGGGAATGGCAGGGGTCAAGAGGACAGGAGAAGGGTGGAGGGTAAGGAAGAGCGCAGGAGAAAAGCGGGCGGGAAAGAGGAGAAAAGAAGAGATGGAGGCGGAGGGAGGGGCTTGATGAGACTCTCACTTCAATGAAAGTCCATGAAGGGCCTCCTTCATAAGGACCAAGATAGTTCGTGCCTCCTGCTCAGCTTTTCAGGAATGGGAAGGAGGGTGGAGATATGGAACAGAGCGGAGAAAGAGAGGGGCGGGAGGAGGGTGAGAGAAGAGGTCGCAAGGAGAAGAGTGGGAAGGAAGAGGAGGAGGAGAATGAAGCTGGGGAGGAGTAGGGTGCAATAAAGGAAGACATGACCTGTCGGGGGCTGAAAATCTTGTCCAGGGAGGACCGTGCCGTCAGCGTATTGGCGGTTAGGAAGATTCATGCCGAAGAAGCCTGAGGGGGAGGGGAGAGAGGAAGAGGAGGAGAAGGAGAGTAGGAAGAGGGCAGAAGGGGAGCATGGGGAGGGTGAGGAGGAGGGTGAGGGTGAGGAGGAGGGTGAGGAGGAGGAGGAGGAGGAGGAGGAGGAGGAGGAGGAGGAGGAGGAGGAGGAGGAGGAGGAGGAGGAGGAGGAGCGAGAGTGAGAGGACGACGA